TTCATAGCCTATGTGATGGATACTCGTGTGACCGCGGAGAGGCCCAATTCGATTGATGATGTTCCGGTCATATGCGAGTTTTCGGATGTGTTCCCCGAAGAGTTACCAGGTGTGCCTCCGGAGAGGCAAGTGGAGTTTCGTATCGATTTGGTTCCGGGAGCGGCGCCCATCGCCAAGGCGCCTTATCGTCTCGCTCCGCCGGAAATGCAGGAATTATCCTCGCAGCTTCAGGAGCTGTTGGGAAAGGGATTCATTCGACCGAGTAGCTCGCCTTGGGGAGCGCCGATTTTGTTCGTCAAGAAAAAGGATGGTTCCCATCGGATGTGTATCGATTATCGGGAGTTGAACAAGTTGACGGTTAAGAACCGATATCCGTTACCTAGGATCGACGATCTGTTCGATCAGTTGCAGGGGGCATCTTGGTTTTCCAAGATTGACTTGAGGTCGGGATATCATCAGATGAGGGTTCGCGAGGAGGATATCCAAAAGACTGCTTTCAGGACTCGTTATGGACATTATGAGTTTGTGGTGATGCCTTTTGGGCTCACCAATGCCCCGGCCGCATTCATGGATCTCATGAACCGGGTGTGCCGACCGATGCTGGATCGGTCGGTGATCGTATTCATCGATGATATTTTGGTGTATTCGAGGACTAGGGACCAGCATGAGGAACATTTGCGGGAGATTCTTGGGTTTTGAGATCGGAGAGACTGTATGCCAAGTTCTCCAAGTGTGATTTCTGGTTACGAGAGGTCCAGTTCCTCGGGCATCTTGTGAACCAGAAAGGGATATTGGTCGACCCGGCCAAGATTGAGGCGGTGTTGAGGTGGGAGGTGCCGAGATCGCCCACCGAGATCAGGAGTTTTCTGGGTTTGGCTGGATATTACCGCAGATTTATCAAGGATTTTTCCAAGATCGCTGTGCCACTTACTAGGATGACCCGGAAGGGTGTTACGTTTTCATGGGGACCGGAGCAGCAGTCTTCATTTGAGACGCTTCGTCAGAAATTGTGCGAGGCTCCAGTGCTTGCACTCCCGGAAGGGATGGAGGATTTTGTGGTATACTGTGATGCCTCTATATCGGGTTTGGGGGCGGTACTTATGCAGAGGGGTCATGTGATAGCGTACGCTTCGAGGCAGTTGAAGCCTCATGAGTCGAGATATCCCACGCACGACCTGGAATTGGGGGCGGTGGTGTTTGCCCTCAAGATCTGGCGACACTATTTGTACGGGGTTCGGTGTACGATTTACACGGACCATAAGAGCTTGAAATACTTGATGGATCAGCCAAATCTAAATATGCGACAGAGGAGGTGGTTGGATGTGGTGAAGGATTACGATTGTGAGATCCTGTACCACCCGGGCAAGGCTAATGTGGTAGCCGACGCATTGAGCCGTAGGGCGGATAGCGCCCCGATCCGAGATATTTGTATGAGATTGACGGTTTTGACCCCGATTCTGGATATTATTCGAGGGGCTCAGGTGGAGGCTGCAAAGCCGGAACACCAGAAGAAGGAACGGGTTGTAGGTCAGGTATCAGGATTTGTTACGGATGGTCGAGGGCTTATGACTTTTCAGGGACGGATTTGGGTGCCGTTTGTGGGCGGTGCGCGCACTATTTTGATGGAGGAAGCACATCGATCGAAATTCTCGATTCATCCTGGTGCTACGAAAATGTATTTGGATCTCAAGAAGGAGTACTGGTGGCCATGTATGAAAAGGGATGTCGCTTGGTTTGTCGAGAGGTGCTTGACTTGTCGGCAGGTCAAGGCCGAGCACAGCAACCACGGTAAGCTGCAACCGCTAGAGATTCCCGAATGGAAGTGGGAACAAATCTCTATGGATTTCATCACCAAGTTACCGCGAACGGCGAGAGGAGTCGATGCGATTTGGGTGATCGTGGATCGGCTGACAAAGAGCGCTCATTTTCTAGCCATTAGCGAGAGCTCTTCTGCGGAGAAGTTGGCCGAGTTATATGTGAGGGAAGTAGTATCTCGGCACGGGGTGCTGATCTCGATTATTTCGGACCGTGACGTGCGTTTCACTTCCAGGTTTTGGAAGAAGTTCCATGAGGAGTTGGGTACTAGGTTACATTTCAGTACGGCATATCATCCTCAGACAGACGGTCAGAGTGAGCGGACAATTCAGACACTCGAGGACATGCTTCGGGCATGTGTGTTGGACTTCGGAGGGAGCTGGACACCTATCTACCTTTAGCAGAGTTCTCGTATAACAACAGCCATCATTCGAGCATTGGTATGCCGCCCTTTGAGCTGTTGTATGGGCGGAGGTGTCGCACCCCCATCTGTTGGGGTGAGGTGGGACAGCAGGTTATGGGTAGCACGGAGATCGTGCTTCAGACGACCGAGCAAATTCAGATGGTCAGGCAAAGGTTGTTGACCGCTCAGAGCCGACAGAAGAGTTATGCAGACAGACGACGGTCCGAGCTTGTGTTCCAAGTTGGTGATCTCGTACTCCTGAAGGTCTCTCCTTGGAAAGGAGTGATTCGGTTCAGGAAGAGGGGCAAGTTGGGGACCCGATACATTGGTCCTTTCCGTGTGATCGTGAGGGTGGGACGGAGCCTACCGTTTAGACTTGCCAGCAGAGTTGGGACAGATTCACGATACTTTCCATGTGTTGCAACTGAGGAAGTGTATAGCCGACGAATCAACGGTGGTTCCATTAGGGGATATTCAGGTGGATGCAAGCCTGAATTATGCTGAAAGACCTGTAGCCATCAGAGATCGGAAGATCAAGGTTTTGAGAAACAAGGAGGTACCCCTGGTATTGGTTCAGTGGCAGCATCGGAGGGGATCAGAGATGACCTGGGAGCCGGAACGTGAGATGCGGGAGCAGCATCCGGAGCCTTTTGCCTAGCGGGACTTCGAGGGCGAAGTCTTATTCTAGTGGGGGAGAATTGTAACAGCCCGGATCCCCAGGTACCTTCATTTCATATTTTTTTGACATTCTGTGAGGGGACTCGGCGAGTTGGAGGTCGAACTCGCCGAGTCGGGTCGCGGTTTTGGGCGCAGGTTCGCGTCCGGACTCGGCGAGTCCAAGGGATGGACTCGGCGAGTCCGTGCTGTTTAATGAAACCCTAATTTCCCGGTCCTAAGCCCTATTTAAAGGACCTTATGGCCCTCATTTGCGGCCACCTTGAACCCTAAGAGCCCCCATACGTCTGTGAGCCCTTGTGAGTGTGTTTGGAGGCTTTTTCATCATTTTGTGGATATTGCAAGGAAAGGAGGGAGAGGATCAAGCTTGAAGAGTTGGGGAGCTTGGATCTGTTGCTATTTCATCAAGGGAGTCTTCTTGAGGTAATTTTCAGAGCCAAACTTCGTGTTTTGTGTTGATGTGCCAAATCTAGGGTTTCTTCTTGCATTTCTTGGCTTGAATTGGAAGTATGAGAGGTCCCATGGAGATATGGAACCTAGATCTGGACCTTAGCAGGTCCAGGAGACCCCATATGTCAAGCTTTATGTCCATTCTTTTGAGTTAGAAGCTAAACTTGCCATATTAGAGGTTGTTTCTTCAAAATAAGCCTTGTATGCATTGCATGGCAACCAAGACTGAGACTTTACGTGACAAATAAGCTTGGGAAGGCCAGATCTATGTATGTATGGAACGGATCTGACCGCAAAAGCCAGTTTTAGCTGGTGCATGGCATGGACTCACCGAGTCTGAAGAACAGGCTCGGCGAGTCGCTTGAAGATTGTCCTTGAGACCACCCTGTGTGTAGTCCTGACCGAGTTACGGGAGACTTAGTGAGTCGCAGAGAGTTGGAAAGGTTTTGACAGGTGGACCGAGTCAGGTTGGGACTCGCCGAGTTGACCTTCGACTCGGCGAGTTGAGTCGCGGTGGCCCTGTGATTCAGGCCCAGGAGGAACTCGTCGAGTCAGGGAAGTACTCGACGAGTCAAAGGGGAAAAACCTTGAGAGTTGGTTATAATGTGTAGACTCGCCGAGTCACTATTGTGCACTCGCCGAGTCTGGTCCAAATTGACTAAAGACTGTTGACCAAGTCAACCTGGGTTGACTTGATAAGGATGGTCCACCTTTGTGGTACAAGTAATAATTATAGATTTATAATATCATAGGAGGATTGCAGCTCGAGGGTTCGAGCCCGAGTGATTCCAGGATTCACGATTAGCAAACTTAGCGAGGCATACGAGGTGAGTCTTCTCACTATACTGTACCCGGAAGTGTTTTGACTGTGTGACCGGAAGGTCGAATATGATATGAGATATATGCCTTATGTGTGTTAAGTTATTCGTTATATGTGCCATGTATGATATGTTTGATTTGGGCTGGAAGGCAACATGATATGGGCCGGAAGGCGTGGTCATATGGACTGTAAGGTTGACGTGGGTAGGACCGGAAGGTTTACCCAGTCGGGACGGAAGTCCCCTGAGACACATGGACCGGAAGGTCAAGGTCTGGAAAGGCGTACGAGCGTAGGTTGTATTTTGGGGAACTTACTAAGCTTTATGCTTACAGTTGTTGTGTTATGTGTTTCAGGTACTAGCGAGGACCGTGGGAAGGCGCCAGCGTGACCGTACACACACTCGGGGAAAACATTTTGTTATCTTTTGTTATGTAATCGGTTGTGACTAAATTGTTACATTGGAACCTAAACTTATTACTCATGTTTTGATGGTTGTAAAAATGAAAATTTTTGGTTGAAATTTTATGACGTTACAATACTTGAGAGAGAACTCAAGTTCTTGGCTGGAAGTTGAAGAAATGAATCAACAATGAAGGGGAAAGTATACTTATAGGGAGGGGTTAACGACCCTAGAGAGAGTTCACGGCCGTGAACTAGGTTTACGACCATGAACCTCAAGTGTTGTATCTTTTGGTATGGGTGTATCCTTCTGATCTCGAGCTAATACTTTCTAACACTTATTCCTTAAGTGTACTAGGCTTAGAAACCTATAAATGACCCTTAACACAGTTAGAAGGTAGCGGAAACAAGGCTGAACTTTTGATGGATTTGGTTGACTTACATGATAGGATCTTTTGGGTTGTCACACCATCCTTCCTTGTATATCTTCTCTAACTTGAACTTCTCTAAGTCTTTCGGAGCTTCCTTGGGAACAACTCTTGGCTTCTTCTTCAAAACTGTGGCAATATCCACATCCATCGAACCAACTTCTTGAATATACGAATTGATCATAAGTTGAAGATGGGACATCACAGGCTCATCCTTATCTTTTTCTCGCAGCAATATGTTGTGAAGAATGATCCTATCATTATTCAAGCAAGGCAAGTCTACAAGAGTGAATTTGTAGGACTGACAAGTTGATCCTCTCGCAACCTTAAACTTTGCATTCGTGAAGCTTTCAGTCTCGATTGGCCCAGTGACCTTCATAACAAAACTTTTGTGAGGACTCTAGGTTTCATAGTGGGGCTTCATGTGCTTTAAGTGAAAAGAGAATAGGATCCGGTCACCATTGCTGTCTGTGAAAGGAGCATTCACAACCTTCAGAAAAGCACGGAACCTAGAGGCTTTTGGAGTGATTGGAAGATCAAGTTGCGAATCCTGAGTATTTTGATGATCAAAAGACACAACAAGATCTAACCAATATTGACTGGGCAATTCCACAACATCATGCTGAATTTTCTTTAAGGTACAATTCGGAAATAGTAGCATTCTGCTCTTGAGAGTGGCATGAATTTCCCTTTCTACTCTTTCTTTCTCTTCAGCCTCTTTGACGATTCACTGGGTCTCATTAAGTTCAGCGTCATGAGCCTTCCGCCTTTTAAGTTCAGCTTCATCAGGCTCTCCATCTTCATTATCATCAATAATCGTCTCTTCTTCAGTAAGCTTTTCCTTGCCCTTAGGTTTGTTCTTTATAATGGGTTTGGCAAGGACTTTCGGAGGTTGAACCTTTGATGCACCTTCTCCCCTTGTTTTTGTTCAGAAGACTGAGGATAAACACCCTGCAATCCATATAACATTGCGAAGATTGGGCTTAACTTCTCAGCAAGGAGTTTTTGAACCGTAATGGAGATCATTGAGTCCTTGGTCTCAATGATATCAGAGAGCAAACTGGTGACATAAGTAATGCCAGTTCGCACTGCTTCTCTGATAACAAATCTTGGACCCGTTTCTTAGACTTTTGAAGTTTAGTATCTAACTCCTTGACCTTTTCTATCTTCCTCGCAAGGGCATCCATTACTTTACTTTCCACTGCCAAATCATCCTGAAGCTTTGTAATCTGCAAAGTAAGGGATGTTTGGAATGATGCATGGTCTTGTTGTAGCCCAATGCGAACCTTCTCCATATTGAGCTTCTCAGTCTTGAACATTGCCCCCCAAGTTCTAAAGGGCTTCATTTACAGAGGCAGTATTGTTGTTGTAGGTGGTTCGATAATTCTCCATCAAGTTGGTCATCTCAGAAATTAGTTTATCGACTTTTTCGGTCATGGATTTGCAGACTTCAACCGTATCAAAAACTACTGCATTCATCTTTTTAGCATTTTCTTCATGCTCCTTCATTATTCACTCATATAAGGATTCAACCGTTGCTTTTGAATATGCACCAGAAGAGGAATCCTTGGAGGCTAGCAACAGTTGATCAAGCTTCTCATTAATAGCCTTCAACTGACCTTTCGAAATTAAGGCTTCATCTTCGTTGTCAGTCCAGATCTGGAATGGACTATAAGTGAATCCTCCTAGATCATCTTCATCACCATCATGTCCAAATATCATATTTGGATCATCAGTACGAAACAGAGAAATGGATGAAGAAACAGGGGTAGTGAGCACTGAAGTTGTAGCCCTCGTATCAGATGCGTTGACCGTAACATCAGGAATCGTTGAGGTAATGGGATTGGTAGTTGAAGTGGTTAACATTGGTGTTGAAATAGGAACTGTTGTAGGATTAGATGAGATGACAGGGGGTGGACATGGAGCAATAGTAATGGGAATGGAGGTTGTGTTTGGAGAGAGAGGAGGAGAAGGAACTGAGTCATGAATAGATTGATGTACCTCTCGATTCATAGTATCTTATTCATTGTGAACTAGAGGCTCTTGATTTTGAACTGTCTATATATCTTCATTATAAACCGGGATTTCCTCCTCATTGCAAATTGGTTGAGTTGTTTAAACATGAACATCTGACTCGGTTTCAGAATCCGAGTCTTCGCTTTTTGAGGGAGTAGGAATATTCCGCTTACGAGCCGATTGTGTTCTTCATTTCTGAGCAGCCGTAGAAGATGTTGCAAGTGCCTTTTTCTTTTCCGGTGATGGTTTTGTGGCACCCGAAGCACCAGCCATTTAAACCTCTTTCTTTGACCCCATTCCGCCTTTCTTTGGTTTGTCAGCGGTATCAAGAACTGCGTAAATTTCTAGAGTAAGTAGCCTAAAGCCCGAAGGTGTAAGTTTGCGAAAGCCTTCCAAGAGTTTACATGAATCAGGAACACCCCGAAACATAACTTCAAGGATAGATCCAATAAATGCAAACTTTGATGGATCGGCAACAATAATCCCTGTTGTATGAAGGGTGGAAACTGTGAAGGCAAGGAAATCCTGCATCAGGGGAATGTTGTGATTAATAATGGCCTGGCGAACTATTAGAGACCAAAACCTTGCACAAGAGATCTTCGTATGATGAGACGAGGAGACAGTGCTTTGAATCACCTAAGCCCATAGAATGGCTTCATAATCGATGTTCATCCCTATGTAGAGTCCATAGATGATGGTCATGAATAACCTACTTGCACAGTTGAACCATATAATTCTTTTAGAAAAGCTTTTGAACAAGATCATGAATAAAGTGTTCCGTTGAGGAGGAAGGCTGGGCTTGCGGAAATTTAAAAGTGTAGACAAAGACTACTTGTATCCCATTTGATAAAACATCCCCATGAGAGCAGCACTGGAGATTATTTTATGATTAATCATATCCTCTGACTGTGGAAGCCCTAGAAGGGATTAAAATCTGGTTTTGGTGATGGACTTTTTCTGATCATGAATGTCAAATATGATCTTATTCTCAGCACTGATGTAGCTTGTAGAAGAATATTCCTTTGAAAGAAGAGACATCGGAACATTCTCCATTTTGGTTAAAGCATGAACCAATGGTGAATACTTGAGACACTCGATCATGTATAGAAGATAGGGCTCATATTTTCAAGGATTCAGATAAATCAGAAGATTCTAATTAGGTTTGACAGCCAGTAGAAAAGAATGAACATTTTGATCGTGAACAGATGATGAAGTCGCCATTGTTGCAGGTTTGAAGAAGATCATAAACAGTAGAGAGTGATTTGTTTACCAGATATCTTTGTAGAAGATTTTGAAAGTGATAATGAGATTTGAACCGTCAAAATCTTTATATAGTATTCGAATTGTGAGGAAAATCCGGAGAGAGAAAGCATCGGGTACTGAAACGTCGCCTGAAAAAGCGCGACTTGACAACTGTAGATGTTAGACCCGTGCCTCATGCGGCGGAAAAAAAGCTAGCCATTTCAATTTTTTCACGCACCTTTTTGAATTCTTATCATCAAAATTTTCCTCTTCATCATCCACCTTTCGTAGTCAAATATTTGTTGTTCAACTGTTACAAATCTTTGCCTTTTTGAAATCTTAGATTAAATTGCGAACCTGAAAAAAATGATAGAGATCCACAAACAAGACTTTTGGAAGATCACGAGGATCTTCATGTAAGAGTGTCAGAGATAAAAAAAATGAATCAAGTATATCTGGGGAAGTGTGTGATGTCTTCATGATGACATAAATCTGTTAATCTCGGGCAAAGATTTCTTCATTCGAAGTCAAGAGAGACTAAGAAGTGTCTGTGTGGTTTCCTATTAAAATACGATCATATGTCTTATACGAAGCACTAAAAGGCTTCTTTTCTTTTGGATAAATGGGTGGCTTACTCTCTAATCTTGACAACAAACTTGACATAAGAACGAATTTTAGATGGAGTACTTGTGTGACCAGTGTAGTCAGTTGAACGAGTAGGTTCATAGTTATAGTAGTGACAAGATAATATTTTGAAATCTCAAACAAAATTAAAACTGGATCCTTTAGGAAGAAGTGACTTGGTTGTAGAACACTTCATAAAGATCTAAAAGTTAAAGATATTTCATGGTACATACAACAACTATCGTGAATTCGTGGGGTGAAAATCTAGAACTTGTAATTGTTCACCGTCAATTCATATAAGTGTGTTGAATTGTGGGTTTCACTTAGATCGTGTTATACGAAGCTAAGATCATGAACATAGATGTTTCATAACCATAAACCTCATTGGTATTTTCTGAGAGTCTCGAGGGTTATATTGATGAAAACGAAAGTAATGGAGAAATTGTGAGTTGGTTCTAGAGAAAGTGAAAGTACCTCTTCTGTGATAAGGTGACTAAGCAGATAACTGTTAACTCATTGTGAGAAGAGTAAGGTAGCTCATGACTTATGTGAATTTAACAGCCTAATCGGGAAGAAACGAATGGTAGATTCGATTCATTAAGGCTTCACATAGAGTCAACTGAGGCTTCGAATAACATGCAACAACATGCTTCTAGGGACACTTAGCTAATACATAGATTATGAAGTTGATACCTGCCCCATTAAACGAATTAGAATAGCTCTGGAGTTGTGTTGTCACGAGATTCGATATCATTTATTTTTGATATTTTAAATTTTTGTGAAAAAAAGAAATAAAACTAAACACAAAATAAAATATTTTTGGTGTTTTAATTTAAAAAAAAAAGAAAAACATAAAGAAGAGTAAATTATTTTTTGATTTTGGGTTTTTCTTAAAATAATAAAAAAGAAGTGAAATAAAGACTAGCAAAAATATACAAAAAGTACAAAAGGATATAAGAGACCAAACCACGAACGAATAGTGAACAACGCAGTCCTACGAGCATTCGCAACAATTCGTAGCAATAAGGAAAACAAAATGAACAGTTGTGTGCGAGAGACTGCGAGCGTTCGCACCATTTTGCAACCACTCCTTTATTAGTGCAAAGGTGGTTTCGGTACTGATTATGCTTCTATCATTCCTAGCCCTTTAAGGATTCTATTAAAGGTGGTTTCAGGAAGAGCCTTAGTGAATATGTCAGCCAACTGATCAGTGGATCTTAGGAAATGTATCTCAACGTTGCCATCTTCCACGTGATCCTTGATGATGTTATACCTCAATTCTATATGTTTTGTCTTGGAGTGTTGCACTGGGTTGTAACAAATGTGAATTGCACTTTCAGAGTCATAATAGAGTGGGATTCGTTTGATACTTATGCCATAGTCACGAAGCTTTGAATCCAAATAACCCGGGAGGTGCATGAAGCTGCAGCTATGTATTCAACTTCAGATGTTGACAACGAAACAATGTTTGCTTCTTAGATTGCCAACTCACTAGTTTTCCTTCAAGAAATTGGCATCCACAATTCGTGCTTTTTCTATCTAAACCACATCCCCTAAGGTCACCATCAGAGAATGCTTGCATGAAAAATCTTGAGTTCGCAGGATACCATATTCCAAGAGATGATGTTCGTTTTAGGTATCTGAAGATGCTCTTGACAGCCACCATATGAGGTTCGCGTGGATTTGTCTGGAACCTTGCAAAATAACAGACGAAAAACATAATATATGGTCTAGTAGCTGTTAAATACATCAATGATCCTATCATTTGATGATACAGAGTCATATCAATAACTGGTTTATCCAGAGATAGTGTCAGTTTTGTTCCGAATGCCATTGGAACTTTCACTTTTGAATCTCCCATCATGCCAAACTTTCCCAGTAAGGTTTTGCTGTAAGCTTCCTGATTTATGAAAATGCCTTCTGATCCCTATCTAATATTCATCCCAAGGAAAAAGTTAATTGGACCCATTGAGCTCATCTCAAATTTATTCTCCATCAACTTGTGAAACTCATCTGTTAAGCTAGGATTCGCAGAACCAAATATGATGTCATCGACATAAATTTGGACGATCATTAAATGGTCACCCTATTTCTTACGAAAGAAGGTTGGGTCAACCGAACCTTGTTCGAATTTTGACATTTTAAGAAAGCAGGTTAGAGTTTCATACCAGGCTCTTGGCGCTTGCTTTACACCATAAACGACTTTTTCCAAAATGTAGCTGTGATTGGGAAATTTCTCGTTCACGAAACCCGATGGTTGCTCGACATATACAGTCTCTTCCAGTTCACCATTCAAGAAAGCACATTTGACATCCATTTGAAACACCTCAAATTTTTTGTGTGCTTCTTGTGCTAGAAATATACGAACCGATTCTAGTCTTGCAAAGGTGCAAAGGTTTCTTTGTAGTCTAACCCTCTTCTTGAAAATATCCCTTTGTAATGAGTCTTGCCTTGTTCCTAATAACATTGCCTTATTTATCCACCTCATTGCGAAACACCCATTTTAGACCAACAACTGATGCATCTGGTGGAGTTGGTATTAATCTCCAGAATTTGTTTCGCTCAAACTCATTGAGTTCGTCTTGCATCGCTTGCACCCAATCAGAGTGATCAAGAGCTGTGTTGATAGTTTTGGCTTTGACCTTAGAAATGAATGAGTTGAACATATAAAATTCCACCATAGAGAATAATGCATTTTACTTCGCTTTTAACTAAGGTCGTGTGAGGACACCTGCAGATGATTCGCCTATGAGTTGAGCTTTTGGGTGATCTCTGGTCCATTTTGTTAATGGAGGATAATTTGAATCATAATAAGGATCCATTTCGGCATTTACTTCTTCGAATTCAGATTGTACATCCGAATCATGATTCGCTTCTTTATTCTCCCCCTCGAATAATGATGATGGATCTTCGCTCTCAGGTTCAGATTGCTCCCCCTTAGGGGTGGTACTTAGAGATGGACGCTCCCCCTCAAAAGACACTTTAGGTGACGAAGACGAGCCCTCCCCCTGCAATGGTGTGTGTGCTGTTGTTGTTTCGCTTGAAGTTGGAGGTTCGTTTGAACTAGGAGGTTTGTTGTTCATATCTTTCAAAACATCATCGATGATTTTCTTGAATTCATCCTCTTTGTT